GCGGTCCTTGGACACTGCCACGTGCAGTCTATGTTACCAATGCGGGTGCCACGTCATTATGCGTTGCGGAAGGACCTTCCAGAAAGCATAAAAGCTTGCCCGGACGTGGATTGGCCGTCTGCAGTCTGCTGCAAATCCTACGTGGGGAACACGAAACGACCTGATTTCATATCCAGATTGTAGCTATACAAGGACAAGCATGTATTGGAAGTATGGCTGGCATCCTCCCGGGGATATCCACTGCGTTTTTGGTTAAAACAACCAAAGACCGTTTTGACATTGTCAAACGTTGCTGTTAGACTTGGCAAGTGTTGAAAAAACACTTCCGGCGTGCTTCGTACATTGGCGGTTGAAATTCGGTGCTTTGCTTGGTACGACCCGACGCCTTGTAATCAGCAAACACAATTCTCGAATGGTTTCCATTCTACAGTCTTGTGGCTTTTACAGGCTAGGTTGTGCGGAGAAGCACCACTCAACACCAAGTGTACGGAACACTTTTTTTCATTTTTTCTCATTTTTCTATTTTTCTTCTTGGCCCGCGCCACCCGGTTGCGAAGTCGACCACATTGCGTTGGAAAATGCAATCACCGAGACTAGACACAGGGAACGAGGACGCCATGGAGAGTACGAAGAGAGAGGTCGCGTCGTTGTCCGAGCCGTGCACCGGAAGCGAGGCGCGATCCAAGATATTTGTATGGCACATGCCACGAATAAGATCGGAGTGCCATTTTTAAACCACTAACCGCGAGCCAACGGAACTCGGCCGCCGATCTCGCGTTTGAAATAAAGTCGCCCATACTTCGCACATTGATAGAACACACTTTGGGGAGCAGAGCAGACCACGCTACGCCGCCACTGCGGTCTTATGACGCGAGCAATGGTCGACAACGCATAGATGGCATTGCTCTTTAAGCGTTAAAAAGCAAATTGCCATATATATATTGTGCTCACCTTGCCACGTTCCCAGTTCATGCTGGAAGCGTGCCGACTCGACTTAGTGGGACTGGTTACCTACTGGGAGGTCGACAGGCGACTGGTCAAGCGCGATGCAGAGCTCGAGCTGCAGGCGTGCCCCGGTTGACTCGCTCGTTGTCGCTCTGGTCGTCTAGTTGAGGTGCTTTCGACGTTTCTGCCGCTCCGCGATGAGAACAGCGCGTCGTCAAAGCTTTCGCGCTTCTTGATCGTCTCTGTCGGTGTTTGGTTGCGATGGTTTTTGATCGCATGTGCCGTGCGCTCGCTGTCATGGCACTGCTTCTGCATATCCTTGTGCCCAGCGCCCCAAGCTTTGCCGCGACAAAGGCTTGCCGTTGGCAATGACCGAGAACCTCGTCACTGCTTTCTGTACTCCACAGACGTCCATGCCACGGCTGTCGATGTTGTGTCATTCGCATGTGGCTGGCTCTGAAAAGACAAAAAAGATTTTTCTCATCTTTGAAGAGTCCAAAATGCTATGTGATGTCGCCATGCGACCTCTGTAGCGAGAGCAAATGACAGCGGCAAACACTAGTTTG